TTCCCAATATTTTCCTTTTGTTGAATCCACTATTTGTGAACTCAATTATGAGAATTGCTTTCCCTTTTACGCAAATGATTAAAGCGTTTGTTTGAGCGTAGTTGAGATATGGAGGAGAAGAGAAGAGTCGTCAAACTCCGTGGTTGAGCATTCTATTCGGTGAATGCATATGAAATTGCTAATCCATATAGATTTTTGTTCACCAAAGCAGCTATCTAATTTCTGTTTGGTTAGAATGAAAAGTTATAATCTTAAGCTAATAACAACCAGGCAACTTTTTGTATTTGACTTTTTTCTGAGCATTCAAGTCAACTAAACTTTGATTTTCTTTTAAGCCAAAATTCTATTAGCTTTTTCGCTTTTTATTAGCTTTTTATTGAAAACGCTAATGAAAATCATGATTGTTTGAAATATTTTGTTCCACAGTTGGAATTTTTTTTCAACAAAGCTAATTATTGCATAACTTTTCACTGGAAACAAATCATAAAAGAACTTTTTCGAATCTGGTGATTGGTTAGGGAAAATCTGGAAAAATTTAGCCATTCAATATTCAATAAAATTTAGCCCCCAATAATTTGATCTTAAATTTTAGATCTTTACTTTTGAACACCTTTCAGACATTTTAGCATGGGTTTTCCTCTATTTTCTCACCTCTAAAGTGGGCCATCGGTTCTGGGAACGACGCGTTGATTGAACAATGCTTTTCCCACGCTCACTGCACTCACTAGCCTTTACAGAATCGTCTTGTTCACTATTGAAAGTCAGAGATTTGAACTGTGAATAATAATTTGAATATCTGTTCTTTAATTTATGAAAAACTCAGCTTTTCAATCGATCTCTTCTAATCCTTTTAACTATTGATGTGCGGTTTTAAGGGGTTGGCACGGCGCGCTTTTTATAGCGTGGATGTGCTACCGTACCCGGCACAAAATTCCCCTTTTGCCATTCTTTTTATTTTCTTTTATTCCATGATGGAGTCGGAAACTTTGTTCGGCTTTTATGTCTAGTTTCGCTAGTTTAAACGCTAGTTAATTCTAGTTCGCTAGTTTAACGCTAGTTAATTCTAGTTCACTAGTTTAAACGCTAGTTAATTCTAGTTTCGCTAAGTTTTCTTCCCCCTTCGATCATGTTATTAATAATCTATTCTGTTTCGTGGCGCGTTTTTAAAGTACTCTCTCTCCCCTCGTTTGTTCCAATATTTTTATATTATTTGCCCATAGTTTGTTGTTTAAAATTAGGGTTTTAGTTTTATTTCGTTTTCTTTTCGGCTCCTTTCACTTCATTGTTTTGAATCCGTTCACATCTGCTGTATAAACTCAACTTAACCAATTCCTTTTAAATAAAAAGCAAATCTAAATGACGGCGCCATCTTGTTATTTCGTCTTGGTTTTTGTGTCAAATCATTTTAGAAAAGGGTTGGTGAGGGAGGTAGTTGCTAATTGTTGATTAGTCATCCTTTTTTTCTCTTTCTTTGATGTGAAATGACGTAAAGGACATAAAATTTGCATCTCGGGCATTCTTGTTGAGAAAACTGGTGTTAAGGAAAAATCGAGGAAAGAGAGAAATGAAATGAACAATGGGAGTGCCCCTTTTCTCGAGTCATCTAACCCAATGAGTAATTGAGCTGATCGAAAACCTTTTATAGATTAAACGGGTTGGCAAAGATTTTTGAAATTCTTGTCCCTTTTCCCGTTTTAAAGCTCATAGATCTTGTTTTAGCCCAATCTCGAATCATTTCCAAGCTGCTTCATACCCTAAACAGCTTTCAGCAACACTCTAGGTAGAATTGCAAGAGATTCTCGCGACGTGACTGATCGGTGAATCGTTGATTCCGTTTCTGCTTCCATTGTCGATTTTTTTCTTTCTTTTCTCTTTTCTTCTCAATGGATTGTGTGTTGTGTGTGCCGGAGCAGACCGATTTTCCGGCGGTGGCACGCGCGTTTGCGGATTTACGAGAGAAAAGGAGGGAAAGTGAAAAGAATAAATAACAATAGAAAATAACAAAAAGTTTCGTTAGGCATATTGTATGAGATATTTCAGCTAAGAAATAGAATAGGATTTGATGTAAGTGAAAAGATCTATGTTGGATTGCACAAATACGCGAGCATTTACGGTTTTAGATATTCTTGTTCAAGTTCTTGTTCTTGTTCAAGCTAAAATTGTTGAATTGCTAGTTGAAAAAGCTTGAAACAATTGCTTTGCTATACTTTCTCTTCATCTAAAGTACTTAAAAATTATCAAAAGTCAATATAAAAAGGGCCCAGATTAACAAAAAAAACTAGCTTGATCAAGGAAAGAAAAAGCTTCTTTTCCCCTATCCAATCACTGAATCAACCTCGGCCCTGCCAGTCTTTTTGTCCTTTTCAACCTTCAAACAATGCCACTCTTTCCACTACACCTAGACTTCGTGATTTGAATTCTTTTTGTTTTAAGCAACAAAAGTTTAATCTTATTTTCGCAATTTGCTATTTTACTTTCAAAAAAATGACTCAAGTTTCAAGTTGTTTCGGACTTTCAATTCTCGAATCTGTTCTACTTTTTACGCGTTACTCCATCAATAAGAGGCATACATGCACGTGGAATAGGAAAGCAATTCGAATAGTCGTTTGTCTGTTGTTTGTCAAACGGTTTTCATTTCTTTTCTTTGTCTTTTTCTCCACTTTTTTTCTCTCTTTCATTCTTCAAGGGCTTCTACCGGAAAGTGCCCAAAATCCCACCCCAAAAAAGTGCTTGCAAAACCACTTTCCCTCCAACTCGTCGAGGGGAAATCATTGGGGAAATGATCAAGAGACATCTGGCTATGAATCACAATTTTTCTTGTTTTATCATCAGAATATCTTCAGTATCAGATGATGAATCGCAATCGTTTTTCATTTTTTTCAACTTTTATTCAGTTTTGCATTTTTTTTCCTTCACTATTATATTTTTTCGTTTTCTTCGCTGTTATTTTATACTTTTTTTAGCAAATCAATATATTTTTAGATCATACACATACTTTTTACACATCTTTTTGATAAGATCCTTGTCCAACAGTTGTTCTTTTTTCAGGCATAGATTTGAGAACTTTCTTCTCCACATAGGAACTTTTATGAAACGTATGCTTGCAATAGTTACTCAAAGATCTTTGGAATGTTTGTGGAAACCCAAGAATCTCCTCTTTTTCTTTTAAAGCAACCGGGTGAACGGGGTTGAGGCTGAGGGAAGAGAAGGGAAGAGAAGGGGACTGTGTCCAGACCTGCCAAAGTGTGAACAGATCGAATGGGGGAAAAGATTGAAGGAATTGATGGGAGAAACCTGTTCGAATAGTGAACTCTAACCTCTTCGTCGTTGAATTTGACTCCTGACGATCACCATTTTCATGACGAAACAACTTTGTCAAAATACAATTTTGTATTTGGTTTATACTAATTTGAGACTTGTTAACGAGTTTTTTTAAACAAAATTGTAATGGAGATCAGATTTTGTGACCTTTATTTCTTCACTTTCCTATAAAAAAACTTCTCATCCATCCATTTTCTCTCAGTTTTCGATCAGAATCTCTTTTGTGATCGAGTTTTTCTCTCGTTTTTCTTTCTTTTTTCTTTCTTTTGTATATGTAAATGTGTTTAGGGGTTGACTCTCGTGAAACCAAATGTGAAACTGAAAAAGAAATGTGGGGTTAAGCAAAGAGGAAGGAAAAGCTAAAGGAGGTGAATCCATGGGAAACACCAAATCAACGAAGAAATGGAAAAGAAAAAGAAAAAGAATTGGATGTGAAAGAGAGAAAAGAGAACGGGCAAGGTCACCAATTGTTGATGGAATGGATTTTGTTTGAATTTGAATAGCTTTACCTACCTTTTACGAAGTTACGATAGTTTCATTTATATTTTCATATTTTCGAAGTTCACAGGCCTCATTTAGCACATTTAACACAATTCTTTTACATCAAAACCTTTCTTGGCATTATTTCTTGATCACATTATATTCTATTTTAAAAGTTTTACTTTAGATTTCCTTTAGATTACTTTAGATTACTTTAGATTACCTTTAGATTACCTTTAAATTACTTTAGATTTCGTTTTACTTTAGATTTCCTTTAGATTACTTTAGATTTCGTTTTACTTTACTTTAGATTTCGTTTAACTTTAGATTTTCGATGCAAAATTTATTAAAATAGGCTTTACTTTTTCTTGAGCTTCTTGAACAAATTTCTCCAAATATCGCCAAATTTTCCCTATAATATTTCCCCTTAAATCCATTATTTTGTCTATCATTTTTCTCTCCAAATATTGATCCTATTGAAACATTTCCTTTTTTTTCACAAAAGACATTGTATTCTGTTTGTGAATGCGATTTTTCACGCATTTTTTTCTGATTCAGATATTTTGGGTAACCCGAGAGCTACAACTAAAATTCTAGAGCTCCAGCCAGAGCTCTAGAATTTTAGTCTAGCTAGCGTTCTAGCCAGAGCTCTAGCTTCTGACTGTTACAATTATTATTCCTATTTTTTAGCAATAGATTTTCTTTATCAAAAAGCAATAGATTTTTCTTAAAATTCCAAATTTCTATGGGGATATTAGTGCAGAAAATAAGGGGTTCTTTATGACTTGTTCACTCTTCTTTTTCACTTTTCTTATTTCTCTTTCTTTTTGCCCCCTTTCCCGCTCATCTTTTTGCCTGTTTGAAAACCGAGTGAATGTGTAAAATGTCGTATGTTCTGGGGTTTCAAATATGCAAAAGATTCTCTCGTATCTCATCCATTTCTCGTATTTCATATCGTGTTTTTGGGGTATCTTTCCCCATCAACCACATTATCTCTTTTGCTCTTCAATTTGAGATTTGACAGGTGCTCGCTAATCTAAAGCTAGCTTCTGACATTTTTAGAATTTATCTTATTATATAATTTAGCTTATTATATAATTTCTTTGCTTGACTTGATGATTAAAACTGCCCCGATATTTCATTTTCAGTCATTTCTCCAATCAATTTAATTTTTCTCTATCAATTTGCTCAATTTTCAGATGTTTGTGGCCGTGAATTGCATCGTTTTTCTCTACTGATTCTTGGTTGTGCTGTACAGTGTGAGAAAAGGAAAATTTTCATTGAACGAATACAAAAACTCGATCAGAAAACGCAAGAGGGATTGGCTAAGCAAATTGCAAAGGTTTGAATTTAATTGGAAACTTTTGAAATTGAAATTGAAAGTCATAAAAATGAAAATTTCTTTTAGCTTACAAAAGGCTCAACACACGTGATCTCGCCGAGAAGTTTGGAGGTGGAAAACGAGGAGAATTTACGCATCTTGGTCGAGAGATTGATTCGAGAAAGAGACGACTACGCGGCCTCTCATCTCGAAATGGTTCATGAACATGTAAGGGTAACTGAATTTAATCTGAGATGATAATCTGATATGATTGATAAGCTTAGAATCATCGTTGCAATGGGGGATTTCAGGAATCGGATGAGGGCAGCAGTACCACGGGCACAAATTCTTTGAATGGAGACATCCCACAGAGAAAAATTTATGGTGAGTGTTTTGGAGCAGTTAAAACTTGAAAATTGTCCATTTTTTGCGTTTAAATTAATCTTTTTGATTCAAAGATGATTCTAAGATCAATGTTTACGTATTTTAAGCACTTATATTGAAAGAAGTGCTTCTATTTTTCCGCAAATTCGAATTTTCTTTCAGATCGTCGTTCTCCGTCACCGACAATGTTGGATCGACACACAAATGTGGAATTGGCGTCAATCAAGGCTGAAGTTAGACGACTGAGAAATGAAACGTGGGATTTAAATTTAAACGTAAAATCGCTGAAAAATTACATCTATTAGTGGTGCAGAAGTTAGTACATAAGTCATTGTTGCATAAGGTTAGCACATAAAACTTTACATTTTTTTTCCAAACGTTTTTTAAAAGTAATGCCGCCAACCAACAAAATTTCTATTTGAACTATTAAAAAGGTTAATTGTTTCTCTGCAAAATGGTTTTTGGTAAATTCTTGAAAGTAGTTATTTTTGTGGATTTTCAAAGGCGCAAAGGCAAGCACCCAAAAGTGCTTCAATGGCTCAAGACTTCGGAGTCGCAATTTGAACACTTTCTTCAATACAAATCTATTTTTGTGCCAAAGTAAAAAAGATAGAGCTTATTTGGTCAAATAACTCTGTAAAATTTGAAAACAATCCGTTCAGCCATTTTCTTTAAAACAGCAATTGAAATTTTTACATAAAGATGCGTTTTTACAGAGTGGAGACGAGCTTTGAGCTTTCTTTCAAAGGCTATTTTGTAGAGACATTATAGATTTTAAAGAAATAATTTAGGCTTGGGTAAAGGATTCTTTTCTACGAAAGCAAAAGTTTGAAAAAAAATTGTAAAGATTTAGAACACCTTTGAACACTCATTTCCCTCTTCACATTCTTTTCTTTCATAGAGATGACCTCAAAGATAAGATCCAAAAACCTTCGCGTTCATAAAGTATCAACTCAAGCAATAGTAACGGTACTTTATGTTATTTTAAGATTTCTATACTCACTAAAAGAATTTGTAAATGAATTGGTTAGTTTGGTGAATTGGTTTTCTTGCAGCTTAACTTTTTTCCTATTTTCAGGGAGGAAAAAAATGAAGAAGTACAACTGCTTCAAGACGATTTACAACTAAAGGAAAAAGAGGTGAAAGAATTATTTTAGAAATAAAAATCGTTTCAATTTTCCTGTCGATCTTTAGATTTAATATTTGTAATTCCAGATCCTTCGTTTACAAGATGAGCGATTGGAATTGATTCGAGATGCTCGAGCAGCTCGGGATCTTCGAGATGAACTCGATTATGCGAATCAAAAGGTATTAATTATTTTATAAGTCACTAGATTGTGGTTATGAGTTTGGTCTTAAGGTAGAAATAGAAAACAATAAAATTTTTTAGCTTTCAAAAGTCGAAAAACTTGAGCAAGAGAATTCGAAATTGAGAGAAAAACTATCCGAACTTGACTACTACAGAAGTCGAGTTGAGGTGAGATTTGAAAAGAAAACTTTGAATGATAAAAAATAACAATTTAGCAACTTCGTACGGATTGTGAAGATCTTGAAGAATCTTCTCGTTATCTGGAAACTCAATTGGACGAATTTCGACAAAAGGTTTGCAATTTGATCTTTTCTTGGTTGGGGCTTTAAGCTATAGACATTTGTTTCTTTTTTTTGCAACACCAGTAATTTCTAGGGTCGATCTGTGAGTGATACAGAAGTGAGATTGGCTGAGAGTCAGGATACGGTCAAGGAATTGCATCTGGAGATCACAACGAAAAACCAAAAAATCGAGGATCTGATCACAGAGCAGACGAGATTGGAAAGAGAATTGACAGTTTCACTTTCGAGAATGGCAGAAATCGAGAAGTTTGTTCTTTGATCCTTTGATTTGATGGTTATGGTCAGAACTAACTATCTATTATGTAATTTTGGATCGATTCCCTGAACCTGAAAGCCCTCGGGTTGGAAGTTTCATCTTTATATATCATCTTTATATCTTTATACTGTAGAAAGTTAACCTTTTCAAGTTGGTAAATTTACAATCAGCAAATCTTTGTTTCTAGGGAGAACTTTGGTGGCCGTGATGGATCTCCGAGAAATTTACCTGGTTCATTGGCCGATCAAATCGAGGAAAGTGGAAGGAATGAGGTATGTTTGCATCTTTGGGGGAAAAACTTTGGGAAAAAAGTTTCTTATTAAATCAGAAAACTTTAGATCACTCAACTTCGACTTCAAAACCAAAAATTCAAGCAAAGAATCGAGGAGTTGGAGAGAAATCGAGAATCCGAGTGAGAAAGTTTATCAATAACACAAATTGTATTTGTTTTGTACACAAATGTGCAAAACTTTATGCAAAACTTTCAGCTTATCGATGACTTTTGCCGAATGTGAGGCAAAGTTGGAGGAAAGCGAGAAATTGTTATCAGATCAACGAGAGGAAAATGATCGATTGAATAAACAAATCAATGATTTGGAGAACAATTTGACATTGATTACGTCGCAATATGAAGAGGTAAGAAAATGGGTGAAATGATCCGAGCTTTATCGTATCAAAGAGAGAGAGTTCTAGAGGATTTCTTTAAACTTGCTTTAGTTTTGTGTATTACCGAGCTATAGAGCTTGTGTTTTGTAGTCATTTGATATTCAAAAAAATTCCAATTCTAGGTAACAACAACGTGTTCCGTTCTTCGTGTCGATCGTGATTCCACTCATCAATCATTACAAGAAGCAAGGAAAAATTTCGCCATCTTTCAACAAGAAGTTGAGAGGAAAAATGAAGAATTGGAAATTGTGGTAAGTTGAAAAAGTTGAATTTGTTTAAAAAAACTTGAGCTTTAATCTATTAGCTTTAATCTATTGGCTTTAAATGATTTCGAAGCTTTAATCGATTTCAAAATATCAACAATAACAAATAAATAAATGAACATCAATCATCAATCAATAAACAATTTTTTTTCAGAATTCTCGTCGCTTTGAGAATGAAATCTCAGAGTTGAGGCGAGATTTGGAAGATTTGCGAGAAGAATTGAAAGAAAAAGAGAAGAACATCGGAAAAATGAGAGATGAACATGTGAGTGAATGGAAAAGAAAGTTTTAGAATTTTTGACGCTTTTGGATTAAACCTACCATTGCCTTTTTTTAGAAAAGTCAACGTCTTGAAATGGATCGATTGGAAGACGAAAAGAAAATATTGGAGATATCGAATTCACAATGTGAACGGCAGAAAAGATTGGCGGAAACGGAGAGAAATGCTTTGAAGGTAAGAGAATTGAAGCTTTAAAAAAGAAAAAGTGTTTCTAGGATAAATTGGAGCGTCTCGAAGATGAGATTGAAACATCTCGGATGAGATTATTATCGACAGATGATGCAAGAAAAAGATTGGAAACAACAGAAAGAGCGCTGGGAGAAATACAAAATAGAATTGGAGATTTCGAGCAAGAAAATAGAGCATTAGCACAACAGGTAATAAAAGTGGCTTTGAATTTGAAATGAAACTGCAAGTAAAAACTTGCAGTTTCATTTCAAAAGACAAAAGCTTATAAAAGAAATTTCTTTCCTTTTCAGCTTGAATTGGAGACTCGAAAAGTGCAATCATTGAGGGAAGATTTGGTTTCCGAAAAATCGCGAGTAGCCGATTTGGTAGGAAGACTGAGAAGTGTTTGCACGGGAATCTCACTCAATGGAGGGAAAATCGATATCGATATGGATGATGCAAAGGTTTTGAAAATAAGGGAAACAAAAAAAACTTGGCAATTTAGTTAATCCAATCGATTGATGATGTTATTATGTGTGCTTTGAATACGGCAAGACGAGAAGCCGATGCTCTTCGAATCCAACAACACACGCAAATCGCTGAGTTGACCGATTTAAAGAGAGATATCGAGAAATTGAGGTATGGATTTGAACTTGTTTTCCTTTTTTGGACAAATTTCGGTTTTTTCAAAATATCGTGATCATTTCCCGGATTATTTTTCGATTCGAATACCGCATTTTCTCTAATAGTAGTGAGCCGAGTTGATGACGATTTTATGGTTTCCAAGTTTTCGTAGAAGCTCAACACTCTAATTCTCCAAAAGATCTCATTGTGAGCTACATTTTCCGTCCCCACATCAATAGGTTCTGATAAGCCGTTCTCGAGATTTCGAGGAATTTAGGCGACGCTCAGGGTGCACTACTATTAGAGAAAAAGCCGGTATTTTATCAGTAGGAAATGAGAAAGAAAGGCTTAGGAAAAGGCTGAGGCCAAGACTTCTCCTTATGCACGACTCTAGAATTCATTCCGTGCGCCTGGAGGGTTCGGTGCACCATTTAAAAGTGTGTTTTTCATGTACCGGCTTTTCCCTAATAGTAGTGCAGCCCAGCGAGCCGAGTTGGTGACTATTTTACGGCTTTCAAAGTTTTCGTAGAAGCTCAACACTCTAATTCTCCAAAAGATCTCATTGTGAGCTACATTTTCCGTCCACATATCAATAGGTTCTGATAAGCGCTTTTCGAGATTTTGAGCAATTTGGGCGAAGCTTAGGGTGCACTACTAGGGAAAATACGTTATATGGTTGAAAGAAGGGTTGGCTGCACAAAAATTCCGTTCTATTCTGAAATTGTGTCTCATTGGGGAAATCATAGCACAGCCAGATAGATCCAGAATGTTTTTCCTGTTTTTTTTTGTGTCTGCTAACTCTACGGAACTGTGGTTGCAGTTTAAACGAGTACTCTAGTAAATTTCGAGTCATAACCTAGCCTTTACTTCAATGCTGAGAAAAATATTCTATAGAAATCATCGGAATTCAATATTCAAGTTCAATGAGCGGATTTCAGTGAACCTGCTTTCAGTTTCAGTGATCACAATTCTAGGATTCATAAAAAAAACCGGGAAATGATCACGATATTTTGAAGATCACGATACAATATCAGTATAGAGCCGAACTTCTCCCTATTACAACAGGATTTTATTCATTTTTCATCTCAGTCGATCATTGCGTATTGTCCAATTAAAATGGTTGAATAGAGAAAAGAACTGAGAATGGTTATGGGGGCAGCTGGCGCTATTTTATACATTCACTAACACTTCATTTCTCTTTTCTGTTCCTTTCTTCTCTTCATTCATTCATTTCATTTCTTTGTCTTTTCTTCTTCTTTTCCAATTTGACAACTGTGAACTGTGACCAGAAAAGAGCAAAATTTGAAATTGGACCGACCATTCGCTTTGTTTTGATTTTCTTCTAAACTATCCTCTACTGCTTTGCTTTTTTCAATGCATCTTTAATTCCTTTGACTGAAATTTACTTTAGGTTTTTGATAAGGTACTATATTAGTTTTCTTTTATTAGCTTTATTTTTTATAGTAAATTCTATTAGTAATGCTATTAGTATTAGAAAATGCTTTAAAAATCATAAAGAATATGATTTTCTGAGAAATTCTATCAGCATTTGTTTCTAGACGTGCTGAAAACGCTTCTTTAAATGAAAGTGACGATCGAGTGAGAGAATTGAGCGAGGAAAACGCGAACGCAAAAGAACAGGTTAATAATCTTTCTTTGTTTCAAATTTATACTAGAATATTAGAACATAGTAAATAATAAAATTTTTAGGCTTACAAATTGCAAGAACGTCTCCGAGAGCTTCAAATTGAGATTGCGACGAGATCCGCCGAGACAGCGAATGCAAAGAGAGAAGTCGAGGAACTTCGAACGACAAATGTCAGTGAGAAATTGATGGAAACAGCTTTAAATCTTTAACATCTTTAATATCTTTAATATCTTTAATATCTTTAACATCTTTAGCATCTTTAATATCTTTAATATCTTTAATAATAATATCTTTAAAGCTTTGGGATTAGTGATCAAATCTTTTTACAGGTCAATCTAAACAAATTGCACAGCGAGTTGGCCACTTTGCAAGTCTCGTTGAGAAACGCTCAATTACAGGTGAAGATTTGCACACTAGATTTTGCGTAGTTAAATTGTTTTCAATATTATCGAAATTTCAGGAAGAATTGCTAAAACAAGACAATCAAGAGCTTCGGACACAAATCGATCTATCCGAGAAATCGAAGAGGGAAGCAAAAAGAGACGCGGTAAAGATTTAAAAAACTATAACATGGCATGAAAATAGTCATACTCGTAATAACTATTTTGACCGAAATTCATGGAAAATGTTTTATTTCAGGATCAAATCGCTTCACTTCATCAAGCTTTATTATCTGATCACGATCGTCTCCAATCTCTGCACGATATGTTAAATCACGATTATGAAAGAGCGAAATTCGAGATTTCTGAAATGAAGAAAAAAGTCAAATCAAGCTCCGAAAAGGTGGGGAAATGACAGTGCAATTTGTAATTAGGCTCAGGCTTAGGCTCAAGAGTGTAAAGGTTTTAAGAATATAAGAAAACAAGAAAACTTTATAAAAGTGTGACAACAAGAAATGTTGTGTGTACACAAGGAATACTAGTCGGCGTCTCTTGAAAAAAAAGCAAGGAAAATCGAAAGCGTGGATCGAAATTTTGAGGTCTCAGACTGGAAACGAACGCTCTACGCGCTACTCGGCCACGGCTGCACCAAATCGGGTCCGCAAGGAAGCCGCTATGACAATATGACCAGATTTTCCTAGCAAAACTTTAAATGCTTATAACCCCTGGCAGATTGTCGTTTAGCAAAAACGGAATACAGATTCGGAATCAGCATAAAATTCTGCGAATGGTATAGGGTGCATAGCAATTGCTCAGCCAATTGACTCTCAGCCTGCTCAGCCAATTGACTTTCTCTTGTTACTATAATTAACAATATTTATGCCTAAATAACAATATCAATTTCAGTTTGGAGCGACATCGACTTCACAACAAGAAGTGGATGAATTGAGGATTGCGCTTCGATCAGAGAGATCACAATATGACCGAATGTTGAGGCAAAGTGCCGAATGTCAGAATGAGATCGGACAAATGAGAAGGGAAATTTTGACATTAAAGTGAGTGACAGTGATTGTTAATGAAATGAGTGAGTGACAGTGATTGTTAAGAAAAACAGAAAAATCTCTTCAATTTCAGAAAAGAGAACGAATGTCTGGCGAGAAATTGTGAAGATTTGAGCACTGAAACGTACAAGTTGAGGGTCAGCGATCAGTCACAAAAAGCCACAATTAAGGTTGGAATACGATCTTGAATGATGTTTATTTGCAGAATATGACTTATTTAAATCTCTTTCTTCCTTTCTCTTACCCCTTGTATTTCCTCTTTTTTTTTCTCTGGCGAGAAGGTACCGGATAGCTCAGTGGTGAGAGCATCTGTCGAGGGTTCAATCTCCGCTCTTAAAGCTCCAGAGTTCAATTCCCTCTCCGGGGATTGAACTCTAGACCAGGGGGATTACTATTACTTCTCCAGGGATTACCATTCCTTACTTTACTTCATTGCAATTACCCTATTTAGAACCTCAATATGACAATTGAAACGATCACTCGTCAACTCGAGAATAAAGAGCTGGAGATGGCCAAGTTGAAGCACAAAATTGATGTAAGTGCAGTAAAAAGTTTGAAGTATTGAAAAAATAATGTTTTTGCTTTCCAGATGTTGACTCAATTAAATCGAACCCTCGAAGAAGAGAACAAAAATTTGGGAAGACAGGTTTGTTTTGTAATTTTTATAGTTATTGTAGGTAAACATTTGATTTTCAGGTTGAAATGTTGTTGCAGCAAAATCGTGAACTCTTGAATCGAGCCCTCAATGATAAAGATCATTATCATCAAGAACAACGAGAATTTCAGGTAAACAAAACATTGTCAAGCTCAAGGAAAAACAAAATAAAGAGGAAATGAAAGGAAAGAATATATTGACATTAGAATATATTATATATTGTAATTGGAAAAAACCTTAGAAATCTCAAATTTCAGGAAAAACTCTCAAATCTTCGTCGACACAAAGAGAAATTGGAGGAGAAAATCATGGATCAATATAAAGCAATGGAAAGCAAAAAGTCGAGAGATACGAAAGAAAAAGGAACACTCGTGAAGAGAGCCGCTAAGGCTTTAATACCAAAAGTGGGGTTTTATTTTTAGAAGAAATCTTTTTAGCTGAATCTTTCGCCTTAAAGAAATGATGATTTTTAGAAAACTCGTTCCGACAAAACGTCAACCGGCTCAACATCCACCGAGGACAGCAGCATTTTCTCTTCGGATGAGCACGGTCGACTCGGTAAAGCGTCTGTCTCTGGTTTATCACATCATGGTTCAATGCCTGTTCGCGGTGCAATTCGATCACAGCCACGCACGAGAACTGATGGCCCGTTGCACTTATTAGAATTATTTCGAAAACCTGAGAAATTATCGATAATTGATCGAGATTTTTGTAAGAATAAGGACCCGAAATTGATTCGTAATGGTTATGCGAGTGCTCCAGGAACACCACAATTAAAATTGAAAGGAATCGATCATCGAGTGGTGATCGATTTGAATGAAACAAACGATCAGAATATTCCATTCATTGATCAAAAAGATGATTTCATTGATATTCATTGCCCTTTACACGGTAGATCAGGATCATTGCGGTTGAATGAATCGCCAAAGAATTTGAGAAAGTTTACATTTCGAGGCGGTAGAATGAATGCATATAGTGAGGCTTGTTGAGGGAAATGTTTGGCTTTTCGATTTTAAGAGTTTTGTAGAGAAAATAAAGCACAAAAACGAAGCCCAACTTTTCTCTATCTTTGCTTTTCAGTTATTTGATGTATAGACGTTGAAAAGATATTGTTTTTCGGAAAACTCGAGTTAAAACTTGTTATAAACGAAACGTGTACTTCCTGGCACACTAGATTCAAGTGTGTCAGAAAGCGCACGTTTCTGAGAGCACAAAGATTAGTGTTTGCTTTCAAAAACCTCGAGCTTTTCGTTCTCTTCGTTTTGTGTCGTTGTCTTGTCCTGTCTATGTTTTTCAAAAAGAATAGTAAAAAAACTTACAAGATTAGTTAAAGATTTCCGCATCTTTGCCTTGTCAACGAAAATATGATAATTCAATGTCTCTATTCTTTTCTCTAGTTTCAATTTAGGCGAAAATAATTCTGTCACCTCCCGAAAGTTGATCAAAGCTTAAAATTTGTATTTTATTTCATCCCAATGACGAATATCATAGAAAATAGTAGAACTTTTAAACTATCAAGTAGCGAGATTTAATCTCATAGATTGTTTCTGCAAAAAAAAAATTATAAGATCTAGATAGTACTAGTAATTTAGTACCCTATTTGTATTCTGAATTTTCATTTTACTCAGCTAATAATGGATATTAAAATTAGATTTTTAACTAACTTCAGAAAGAAAAGGAAATATTACATAGAAATCGAGTTGATTTGCTGTTGAGTTAATTAAAAAAAGATGACAACCATAAATAGTCTCAAAAAAATCTTTTTATACTTGAAATTCCAGCTTGAATCATCCACGACCCATTTATAATTTTTTTTTTTTACAAATAAAAGATAGAATTCTTTTAGGAACATTTTATTTGAACCCTTTTTTTACGTATTTTATTCAATATTCATAAAAACAAGCTAAAAAAAATGGAAATTTGAGTGATATTTGCCTTAAAAGCTATGAAACCCAACAAGTGCGGTGATCGTAATTCTGTAAATGACTTTATTAAGTTTATATTCATCAATTCTAGCTTAAATCTATTCAAAAGCATCTCAAAACTAGGATAAACACATGCTAAAAGTTAATGAGAAAATAAAAATGTCAAAGATCGATTTGCATATTAAGATTGACAGGGCAAAAGCGGCGGAAGTATCCTAATTTTTACCGAATTTTCCTCAAAAAAAAAACCCTCACTTTCACAACCAAATCTTTCCAAATCTCGGTGAGTTTTTAAAAAAGAAAATGAAATTGCCAATAATATAAAAAGAACAGAAAAGAAAGAAAGAGAAAAATTTTGTGTTCAAAAATGGAAACAAACCGTTTCCTCGGCCTGGGTTCACCAACTAGTAAAAAGAGCTAATTTTAGCAAACTTTTGTTTTAAAAAAATTCAACGAGTCTAGTTTCATTCATCAAAAATTCAACGAAAAAAAAGGCTCGGTAAAGCCCGGCTAGCGTAACCTCTAAATCTCAGGTCTACCTCTTTCTTTTAGTTGACGATTCATGGGCGTCTTTAAGCATACCGCATAGCTAGCTAGATTATAGACGTTGGTGACGCATTTAGCTAAATTTTGCAAAATTTAATGCTAAGTGATGTTTGCTTTTTTTGCTGACTGAATATGTTAGCTTTATGTGGCGGCATCAGAATATTCGGGATAGGCTAATTTCCGCCATTTTATTTACGCTACAGGGTCACTTGCGCAACTCGTCATAACTTTTTTCTAAGTGACACAATCTTTGTGATTTTGGTTTCATTTTGTTGCACTTATTGAGATCTACAAAATGAAACCAAAAACATAAAGATTTGCCGACTTAGAAAAAAAGTTATGGCGAGTTGCGCAAAAAGCCTAGTTGCGCAAATGACCTAGTTGCGCGAATAAAATGGCGGAAATTAGCCTACCCCAAATATTCAGTCTAAAAGAAATAAAACTCAATTTTGCTAAATTTAGAAAAATCGTTTTTGGTTTATTTAACAAAGCAAACAAAAAAGCATTTAGCATTTAGTATAAAGTTGCTAGTGAAGTTGCTAAATGCTAAATTGGTAAATAGTTTGGTGGAGCTGGGCCCAGGCATTCTGGAGAATCTAGAGTGCACCAGGAAGGGTGTGTTTTCAAGTTTTGCGCTTAAAGTAAAACAAGGAAATGAGAGTGAATGTCTTTTTCTTTGCTGTTCTTTTAAATATCCCTCTCTAGTCATTTCTCTTTACGTAAATGTCTTGTATTCTTTGTTGCATGTTAATATCTAAACTGTGTTTCTCTTGGTTAGCGTTTTCTAATAAAATTTAGAACAAAGAATAAAGCTATCCATGGAATAAAGCTTAGAAAAAAAAAGAATAATAAAGTTATCGATTTCTTTTAGATTTTTTTGGATTACGTTTTTTTAAGAGCAATATTTAGAAACTGATTAACCAAGCGTAAACACAACACACCCTTGTCTGTCATCCATCAAATATTTGTCTTGTCCTGTTCAATGTGCTCGATTCATGTCTTCAAAATGAAAATCAATAAATGTCCTTTTTCACAGCTTTTATCAAATGCATCACAGCTTTGCACCAATGCATGAATAGAATAGATTTCATGGAATAGATTTCAAATAGAGTCAGAAAGCTCCTTAGCTTGACATAAATCTAGCACAATATTTCACATTTCGGGTTTTTGGGATTTATGTGTATGGAAATCTTGGCTTCAATTTTGGCGCTTCAATCTTGGCGCTTCAATCTTGGCTAAAAGCTTCACATGACCACCAAAACACAGTCAAATTTGTTTAAAAACATAAGCATTTTCAATTCCATCTTTAACAGTTGAAAATTTAAACTTAACTACTTTCAGATGAAGAACTTGCGCCAACATGTTCATCAAGTGAAGAAGCTGATCGAGTATCGCCGAGACTTTCCTTGGATAACACTTTCAAAGGTAACAATTTGTAAAGTGTTGTAATAAAGACGTGAAGGAATTGGTAGAAAAAAAAGAAAAGATAGATTTCTGCAGAGGGAATTGAACCCTTGACCTCGATTCGATCCTTGCTTTCCAAACAATTCCTCTAACCACTCAGCTATCTGGTACCTCAATAGAAAGAAAGAAAGAAAGAAAGAGAAGTTATCAAGCTGTCAATTTTCAAATTCCTTCTTTCAAAGTTGTGTTGTTTCTAAAAATTTCAAATTTCCGCTTCTATCATTCTATCGATCAAAAATCTGTCAACTGTGAATTTGTGATTTTTTTCAGCTCAATTCTCAGCACCAATTCCCTTCTTGAGGAATCGAAATGATTCAATTGGAGGCTCGGTTCGAGTGTACCCTGTGGCTCGAAGAGATTTCGATTCTCAAAGCGATTTTCGATCATTTCAATCAAAAACCTTCAAATCGACAGGAATTTCGATTTTTGAACCGAAAATCTCCTTTTTGCAATCTCAAAAAGTGCCTGAAGTGCCGTTAAAAACGCAGAATTTCGTTCGTCGATCATCCGAAGTCGAATCAACCACAAATTACTCACAATTTTCCACTTTGCATGGTATGTTGTCGGTGAATTGTCGTTTTATTATATTTAGAATATTTTTTAAGTTTTATTCCAGATACAATACATCATAGAATAATTCTTTTCAATATTCATAAGTCGTTTTTTTCTTTTTTCAGAACGTGGAGTCGATGTGCTGACTCGAGGCCCCGTTTTGCCACCGAAAATCCCCATCAGAAACACACCAATCACCCAGAGCTTGAGGTACAATAATTACCCACGAATTTTTAACAAACTCCACTAATCCTTAAAGAAAAACATTTGTTTTCTTCAATTTCATTTCAATTTTCAGATCTCGTCCTCCACCGCCACCGTATCCATCAAAACCGAAAACCAAACCCCCACCACCGTACAATCCGCAAAGAACAATGGTGAGTTGAAAGGAAGATTGCTGTTCAGAAGCTCTGAAGAACAGAAATGTTCAGAAGTGTTCAGAAGCTCTGAAGAACAGAACTGTTCAAAAGCTCTGAAGAACAGAACTGTTCAGAAGCTCTGAAGATAAGAACTGTTCAGAAAAATTGCCAATAAATCCCGATTACCGGATGATTCTAATAGAAAACTCCTCAAAATCGGGATTTTTCAGAACTTCAGGACCACAAAACTCCTCAAAATCGGGACTTTTCAAGAATTCTTTTTAGCTAAAGCTATAAATATGACTTCAGCTAAGCAAATAATTACACTTTTCAACAAGTTTTTGACTTTTTTTTTTGGCCAAGGGCTTTCGTTTAAAATAATTTTACAATTTTGAAATTTTTGATTTATTTGGAGAACTACTTTATCGGTTTACTGATTTTGAGAGATTCAAAAATAGAAAACCATTGCTTTCTATTAGAAAAAAATACGCTAAACTACCAACCAATGACAATTTAGACACCAACAAATGACACTTCGTTGCTTTCCGAATTCAACCCTCAAATGACATCGACACCAAAAAGTGATCGTGAATCACCGAGAAGTAATGCAACGACGTCAACTATTGTTAAGGTGACTTTTTAAATACTATTTAAGGGGGGTGGGACAAATGCGACCTTTTTTTGCGCACCTGGACATTTGCGCACCTTTTTTTGCTGGAAAAGGCCTTAAGAAAGGTCGTAGAGCTTCAAAAATGTTTTCATTCATCAAAGGGAATCGTATGCGCAGATTCCGAATTTCGACAAATCAGACCTCGCTGACACGTCAAATTTGGGCTAAAAGGCAAAAACTACGCAACTTAACGCTTTTCCGCAGTTTTTGCCTTTTAGGCCAAATTTGAGGTGTCAGCGAGGTCTGATTTGTCGAAATTCGGAATCTACGCATACGATTCCCTTATGTGGAAATATTTTTGAAGCTCTACGACCTTTCCTAAGGCCTTTTCCAGCAAAAAAAGGTGCGCAAATGTCCAGGTGCGCAAAAGAAGGTCGCATTTGTCCCACCCCCCTATTTAAGCATTTAAATTTAAAACTATTTAAATGTAAATGCTGAAAAGATAAAAAAGAACGTTTTCAGGAAGGCGAAACAAGAAGATTTATTCGTGAAAAAGAAGAAAGAGATCAAAAAGCGATGAGTCTTTACGAAAATGTTTCACGTGAAGATTTAAAAGACATATCGATTACGGTAAGTGAAACAGATTGAATATTAACAAATTCACGACGACATTTTGAGCGTACAGTCCCGTAGTCGTCACTATTTTACTGATAATTTGGTGAAAGATTCAAAAATAAAATAAACTTGAGCAAAAAAGTGGCAATAAAGGCGATTTTTCATCATTTTTCAATCATTTTTTCCTAAGCGCTGGTTAAAGCTAAAAATCTGTGTTATAGCTCAAAAAATCACGGTTTTTCTCTACTTTAATTTGATACCTAAACGCGTGGAAACAAACCTACTGGTGTCAAGATTTGAGCGTTTGTTTAAGAGCGAACTTAAACTACTTTTAATCTTTGATTTGATTTGATTGATTGATTGATTGATTTGATCTTTGATTTACAAAGCAAAACTCAAGAAATGGGGCAGCTACGCACTGCGACGGAAAAGAGGAAAAAAGAAAACGTAGCTGCCCCATTTGTTGACTTTTTCTTTAAAAATTAAAAGATATTCAATTTCCGCTTGGTCGTAAATGTGTCAAGAAAGAAATGAAACAGAAAGTTTTCATCACAAAAATATTATAAAACTATTTTAGACAAATCCGGGCATGAAACAGAACGAGAACGAGAAGGGAAATGAGAGTACGGTTTGGTATGAATATGGATGTATTTGAAGGAAATGAAAAACTATTTTCATTCTTTTTTTTCAAAAATCAAAAAGCTCATTTTTTTCTTTACCGGTTCTTTAAAAAATATTAACGATTTTTCGGAAATATTGCGTTGATGAATTGAAAACTGCGGGACTTTGAACTAAAATTTATTCAACATAAAACCATGAATTCATTCCAAACAATTTCCATTATTATTGACGACTTCTGCCCATTTTACAGGCAATTTGTGGATTCCTCTTTCTGGGTAAGATTTTGGTTTGTGTGTGAGACAAGTGTGAGACTCAAAAATGGAGGACTGGAGATGTCCCAGTGTCCCAGTTTGAGCACTTTCTTCAAAAGAAACCCACTTTGGTGTCAATAGAAAAGTTGTAGAGAATCAAAAATTAGGCTTATAGCCAAATTTCCAAAAAGATACACTTAGTAGTTTCGCTTAAAATGCAAGTTTTGTGAAAGTTTCGTAAATTTCGCATTTCTTGAAAACCAGTTTTTGAACCGTTCTGAAAATTTGGATATAAGCTTGATTTTTGATTCTCTACAACTTTTCCATTGACACCAAAATGGGTTTCTTTTGAACAAAGTGCTCAAACTCTCACATACGACAATAGCCCGCAGTTTTCAATTCACCAACCCAATAATTTCAATGTGCATCATGTGATTCTTTGAAGATAGTCAAAAAGCTCTTGGCTTTCTGTATTTCTGTATTTTTAAGTTGAAATTTTGTTCTTTAACAATCAAAATCTTCAATCTTCTATCGTGAAAGCATTTCTTTTCTCAAGAAATTTGACGAGTACTCATTGAAAAATGTTGAGAAATATTGAGAAATATTGAAAAATGTTGAAAAATGTTGAAAAATGTTGAAAAATGTTGAAAATCTTTGCCTCTACTTATTCCATTTTTGATTTCCTGATGTTTGTATGCTTTTTTTTTGATAAACTTTTGAAAATAAAGTAAAAAGAATTGCTGTAAAAGTTGCGCCATAATTGTCACAACAAAATAAAGTTCTGATTTTAAGGCAGACAACAGCATAAAAGACAAATTTTTGACTGAATAACATTTATTTTACATTAGCAATTATAAATGGACGATCAAATTCGAATCGGCCACCATTATCATTTGAGCAGGCTCGCAGGCGTCGGATCGATGGCGATCAAATAGCTCTTCCCATGCTCCAGCATCCGAGCTCTACCCACGCTTTCAACAGTTATTTCTTCAAGCTTTTGATGTTTTTGTGGGGCTTTGAACAAGCTTTGGCTTTTAGAAAACACTGAAAAATCCATTGGGTTGAGGTCTGGAGAGCTTGGTGGCTCAGAAAAAGAAATGAAGTCCCGGAAGTTGTTTTGGCAGAACTCTTGAACTTTCTTGAATTTGTGGACCGGTGCGCCATCTTGCTGATAAGTCCAAATGCGATTTTCAAAATGTTTACGAGCCTAGGGCAAAGGTTCATCCTTGAGAAGAGTTGCGAGTTGAGAAATGTTGCGTCAACTATGGCGCACTCTGTACAAGCTTTAGACTCAAGAAATTGGCGAACAATCGTCCAAGACATGGTATTAATGCGGCGAATAGCCACTACAAGGGAAATTTTATTCAAATTAAGTCTTCATTTTATATCGTGGCTTCAACACAGTAACCTGAATATCTTTGCGTCGAGCTTTTCCAATTTTAAGCTGTGAAATACATTTCCAGTCTTCTTTTCAATTATTACAAGTAAAATCCACACAATTGTGGTAAAGCTTGTTTTCTCGTTGCACCTTGCTCGTGTGATAAGTGTAAAAGTTGCCTAATTGGCAAAAGTTGGCATAAAAGTGCAGTTTTTACAACAATATAGCTTGCTTGCTCTAAGCTCTAAACAAAGAAATTGCTGAAAACGTTGAAACGTTGAAAAAAACGCAAAAAGAATAAAATGAAATGAACAAGAATGAAAAAAAAATGAAATTTTGCGCAAATTGGAGGGGTACGGTAGTTTTACCACGCTTTAAAGCACCAACCCGGTATTTCCTCGGAAAGAGGTCGCAATTACAAAAACAACTACTTCCAAGAATTGGGATGGGTAAGGAAAAGTTTCGATGCGGTCCCCTCTTCTTGCATTATCAATGGATTTCGAAGAGCTTTTGACGGATGAAACAGTTTCGAAGCTAAGCACACAATTCTTTTTTATGTCGCTTTAATTGCTTTGAATTTCTTTTTGTTGGGTTTTTATACATTTTTATTGTTATATAAACTTTTATTATTGTTCTTAAAAAGCAAAAAAGTTATGCTGCAGCGGGGTTCGAACCCTCGACACACCGCACCGGAGACACCCATCAATTTGCATGCGAAAACCAAACAGAACTTATACTCGCGACTTTAGGGTACAAAAAAAACTACTTCCAAGAATTTTTCAAAAGCCATTTCACAGAGAAACAATCAAACTTTTTAATAGTTTAAAAAAGTTGCCTAATTGGCAAAAGTTGGCATAAAAGTGCGGTTTTTACAAAAATACAGCTGAGCAAAAGCAAGCTCTAAACAAAAACAAAGCAAGCAAGCTCTAAACAAAGAAATTGCTGGCTATAGTTAAGAGTACTAAATCTAGCAAAGAAATAGATCTAACTGTAAGGATTAAAAAGCTTTACCTTCAAAATGTCCCCATTTTTTGGATGAAGATTTGGGGAATGTTGGGTGAGATCCCTAAGTGAATGAATAGAAAGATTCACCTTTTTTTTGAGAAAAGGGAATTCGATTAGGAAAACTTTTTGAGGTTCTCAGCCTTGAAGAAAGGGTTGACGTTTCAGAAATCGAGAAAAAATTTCGCAGGAAAAGAGCTGGGATTTGAATTCTCTGATAATGGAATAGTTCGATGATGCGATGATGGCTTTGTTGAGTGATTTTGATTCTATGTTCTCGTTGTGACATTGTTCAATAATGTAAATTTATCCTTTCTTTGCTCGTCAATGTAACTGAGTATCCTAGTTAGTAAAAATGGAAATGATAAAAAAGGTAACTAGTTTAAGCATCCTAATTAGGGTGTATTCTTTTGTTTTGAAGAAAGTGTCCAAATTGTGACTTTGGCATCGGAGCAGTACTCGCCTTTACGCCTTTGAAAATCCACAAAAACACTTGCACCTTTTTTCCGAAAAAATCCTGCGTTGACGCTTTAAAGCATGGTAAAACGACCGTACCCTCCAATTCGCGTGAAATTTTTTTTTTCATTCTTGTTCATTTCATTTTATTCTTTTTGTGTTTTTCTGATGTTTTTGTTTTTTGATCGCCTTTGTTTTTTTGCAGGAAACAAAGAGGATAAAGCTAAATTACGTTTTTAACAGCATTTTCTGTGGCGGAAGCGTTGCTTGTAGAGTTTTTTTAGAACCACTTGCTTCCCGCCGATCTGCTCTACGAACTTGATGCCAACTAATGTTAAGTTAAGTGCTTTTTATCATTTTCTATGATGGGAGCTTTGTTTTTGCGACTTTTTATTTGAAAAAACGTTGAAACGTTGAAAAAAACGCAAAAAGAATAAAATGGAATGAACAAGAATGAAAAAAAATGAAATTTTGCGCAAATTGGAGGGGTACGGTGGTGTTTTACGCTTTAAAGCGCCAACCTAGGATTTTCTCGGGAAAAGGTCACAAGAGGATAAAGCTAGGTTACGTTTTTAACAGCATTTTCTGTGGCGGAAGCATTGTTTGTAGAGTTTTTTAGAACCGCTTGCTTCCCGCCGATCTGCTCCACGAACTTGATGCCAACTAATGTTATGTTAAGTGCTTTTTATCATTTTCTATGGCGGGAGCTTTGTTTTTGCGACTTTTTATTTGAAAAAACGTTGAAACGCAAAAGTTGGCATAAAAGTGCGGTTTTTACAACAATATAGCTGAGAGAGCAAGCTCTAAACAAAGAAATTGCTGAAAACGTTGAAACGTTGAAAAAAAACGCAAAAAGAATAAAATTAAATGAATAAAAATGAAAAAAAATGAAATTTTGCGCAAAATTGGAGGGGTACGGTAGTTTTACCATGCTTTAAAGCGCCAACCCATGATTTTCTCGGAAAAAGGTCGCAATTACAAAAACAACTACTTCCAAGAATTTTTCAAAGATCATTTCACAGAGAAAAAATCAAACTTTTTAATAGTTTAAATCGAAATTTCGTTGGTCTCTTTATTGTTTTTAAAAAAACGTTTGAATTGTAATTGTAAAGAATTGTAAAGACTAACCTAATAGTAAGTCTTTTTCCAATTTCAGAACCAATTGATGACCTCAGTTATGTCCACCTTTTCTCTTCTTCTTTTCCTTCAAAATGAGATCATTTTATTCGCAAAGAGCTCAATTTCTCTCTCTCTCTTCAAAACCTTATGTTCTGAAAGAAATGCTTTTTCAAAAGATTTCCCCAAGGGACAGATCTTTTCCTCTTTTTCTTCATTTCTAACAGAATTTCTTCGTGTGAACACTTCGATCCTTTCTTGTCAAAGAAAATCAAAAAAAAAAGTAGAGAAGACATCCTGTGCTTCTCGAAAAAAAAGAACAAAATGTAAGGAAAGAATATTTTCTCAAGACTCCCCTCAAGATTCCTCTCAAGAGAGGATTTTCTTCAGAGGTCGAACTCGTTCATCATCTCCGCTCGATTGATGGGCTTTGTTGGCTTTGAAAGTTTGAAACATGTTCTAGTAAGCTAACAACAACTAGAGTCTTTCAGGAAATAGTGAAATATTCTTTGATCTATTATGGATAATGCTTGCTTAGTCCCAACTTTGCTTATCTATTGTAGATCTATTGTAGACTGTTGTAGATCTATTGTAGACTATTGTAGACTATTGTAGACTGTTGTAGACTATTGTAGACTATTGTAGACTATTGTAGACTGTTGTAGATCATTGTAGACTATTGTAGACTGTTGTAGACTGTTGTAGACTGTTGTAGACTGTTGTAGATCTATTGTAGACTATTGTAGACTATTGTAGACTATTGTAGACTATTGTAGACTGTTGTAGACTGTTGTAGACTCAAAATCTATTGTAATTGTAAGTAACTTT